CTCTCTATTTTCTCTTCAAAAAAAAAACCATAATGGTGTGGAGGGGATGGCTATAAGGGGAGAAGGGAGGCCATCCTTAAAAAAAATAAAAATAAAAAAATAAATAAAAAAAGGATGTCAATGACTTTAATAAACATAGAACTCATCCAGGATTACAATCAAATGATCAGCAGTGGCAATACATGCTGCAAGTTGTTGGGTGGGATCAACAGTCAGTTCCTGGAAGTGAAGAAAGTCATGACTGTTTGTTCTCACCAATATGTGATTATTTATTTGTTTTATTTCATATTTGTCTTGTAAGCCCATTTAAATGAGGGACAATTGTTGTCCATCATTTTTTCTGGTTCACGGGGGTTTCTGGTTGCCACAGCAATCACTGTGCAAGAGGCAGGGTAAACCCTGGAAAGGTCACAAGTCCATCATAGGATGGATGGACAAACATCGTATGATGGACGTGTGACCATAGGGCCACATAGAAACAACCATACACTCACACCTAGGGACAATTTAGAGTTACCAATGTTGTTTGTGGGATGAAGCCAAAGTACCTGGAGAAAACCCACCACAGGCAAGGAGAGACCATTCAAACTCTACCCAGAAGGGTCCCTGGGTMGGGATTCGATCCGGCGACCTTCTTGCTGAGAGGCATCTGCTCTACCAACTGAGCCACTATGCTACCATGTTGTTTCACTTTATATTTCATATCTAGACAAGCATGTTGGCATGCACAACCATTCTAATTTTCACCCCACATGCGGCAGTGGTTAGAAAAGTTGTATTGATATAAAATTTGGTACAAAAGATTTTCTTTGCAAAATGAACAATTTTGTTAGAAATCACCTTAAAAAAGTCACATTTTTATTTTAGGCATACTGTAGAGCAGTGTTTCCCAAAGTTGGGAACGAGACCCAAAGTGGGGTCCTGAAACATCAAGGTGGAGTCCTGACAAGATTTTCTGAATTAATTACGTTTTTGCCTTAGTTGTTACAAAGGAGTGAGGTTAGTATATTTAAAATGGATAAATGTAGTATAAAAATATTGTTACTGTGCCCGTGTTTAGTTGACCTGATACAAATGTTTATCATCCAAAAATATTTGGGGGCACAGATCTCTCTGCTTGTTATTTTGTGGGTCAAAAGCTGAAAAGTTTGGGAACCAGTGCACTTTGGTTCCCAAAGTTGGGCTTGGGACCCAATTATGGGTCATGAAGCACCTTGGATAATCTCCAGAAATCAATTTAAAGGGTAATAAAATAATTGCTGATGTAATATTTTCCATATAATTATTACAAAAACACAAAATAAGTATAATAAGTATTTATATTTGTGTACAAGCTGTTTAGATTGTCAAAAAGCCTGTGTTTTTAGGGTTGTTAACGAAGTTCGTGTACTCAGACCAGTAATATTTGGGGTCACAAGTTTTTGCAATGCATATTTTGTGGGTCAGAAGATAAAAAGTTTTGGAACCACTGCTGTCGAGGACCACCCTACTGGACACCCTTGGTTTATGGTTTCCCCCAAAACCATCCAAAGAATTGATATTTATAAAAAGGACGTTGGTGGAGGGACAAACCAAAACAACCCACCTCTGTGATCAGCACAGAGACATGAAGCATCTGGATGCAGACAAACACTATGGCACCAACAAAACACGAGCAACAACTTATCGCTGCACCAAAATCTTTGGCATTCCCAGAATGAAACAAAACTGGAACTAAAGTAAACAGAACCCACTGAATGTGTGGCAGGAAGGACGGTGTTTAAAGGGGACGCAGCTTTGGGAACCGTGGTGCGGAGCTGTAAATCTGAACGGACGACCACGTTTGAACAGCACGTCCTCTCATCAGCAGTCACTGCTTTCATTTCCAATTATTTCTCTTCTCTGGGCAAACGTAAGACAAAACCAAGTCGATCATGTTCCTGACGATGGGCGGAGGTGGGTGGAGGGCGTGGGGGAGGTGGTGAGCCGAGCTCATTTCCCAGGCGTCCACCATCAGAACGTTCAGCCCCTTGAACATGGCCTTCAGCACGGCGTCCAGCTGCAGGGAGAACCAGTCGCTGTTGTACAAGCTCACCTCCTGGTCCAGAGCCTGGAGGTTGGCCGACCGGATCACCACGAGCGTGCCTGGCGCTCGGCCCAGGAGCCGCACCACCGATCGGCGGATGTGGCGAAGCCGGCGGATGTACACCTCCACGGGAAAGGTGCTGAAGTGAGCCCAGACGCTGAGGACCACCACCGTGTTGGGACCCCCAGAGAGGCCGTCCAGCTCGTTGGAGACGTACCGTAGCTCGCTGGACAAGACGGTGGAGAAGCGGATGGGAGGACCGTGGCAGCGGTACTTTAAGACGATGTTGTGAGCAATGTCCACTGCCATGAAGGGGCCGACATTTTTAGGGCTGTGTAGATTTAACTCTCGCAGTTCTGGATAAGATGAAACAAACTGACATTACACTGGAGGAGGCGCAACTTATAAAACAAACAAAACAAGAACAAGCTGCTCACCTGGAACAGCAGCCGTGAGGTACTCAAACCACTGTCGGACCGTCGAGTCTCCGTACATGTTAATCACTTTGTTCCTCAAACACAGAGCGATGGCAGACGACTCGTTGAAGTGTCGCATCACCACCCCGCCCAACGGCCTCCACGAGTCCTCATAATAATACCCAGACGGTGCCAGCTGGAAATGTTCCGGTTTCAAAGTGCTGCCCTCCCCAACTTTACCTGAAACAAAGAGAGAACCGTTACAGAGAAACTGAYATCATCAAATGATGGAAGGAGGGATGAACTGCATGTCATCACTGATGAAAACCTGACAAGGAAATCTCATTTAAACTACCTAAAAACCAAAATAGCTAAATCTATTGCAGTACTATAAAAAGGAGTAATTTAATGATAAAGCTTCCTGAAAAATTAAGTAAATATGGTATTAGAGGGTCGGCACTACAATGGGTATCTAGTTATATGAAAGATAAACAGTTTGTACAAATAAATGGTGTAAGATCTAAACTTGGTAATATCACATGCGGAGTCCCTCAGGGCTCTGTACTGGGAACTAAGTTATTTATTTTATATGTGAATGACTTAGTAAATGTGTCAGGACTTTTCAAATGTGTTTTATTTACTGACGATACAACATTTTTTTCTTTAGGTAAAGATATAGAAAAAATGTTTGAGATGGTACAGAAAGAATTTGAGAAAATACTAAATTGGTTTCAACAAAACAAATTGTCATTAAATTTGGAGAAAACAAATTACATGATATTTAGTAATAGGAAGACAATTGTTGATTTCTCATTTAAAGTAGATGTATTGAGATCTGTAAAATGAGTGAGGTGAAATTTCTGGGTGTCATCATTGGCGACAAGCTGACATGGAGACCTCACATACATTATTTAAGAACCAAAATATCTAAATCTATTGGAGTACTATATAAAGTCAGGGAGTTATTCAATGACAAAGCTCTGCTTGTGTTATACAATTCAATAATTGTTCCACATTTAATTTACTGTATTGAAGTCTGGAGTAAAGCTTGCAAAACAATTACAAATCCAAGTTTTGTTTTACAGAAAAAAGCCGTAAGAATTATCGCGAGAAAAGATTACAACTATCCATCAAATACATTATTTTATAAACTGAAAACTTTGAAATTCTAGGATTTGGTTGACTATAATATTTTACTGTTTATGTACAAGGCTCAAAGAAACGTATTACCTTCCAACATTCAGGCAAATTTTGTTAAGAGACACATTTGTTATTATCTTAAGGGGATGGAAATGTTTGTGAAGACATATTTTCATACTTGCTTGAGAGAAAGATGTACTTTAAGTATAGGATTGTGGAATGGTCTGGAAGATGATCTTAAAAACGCCAATCTATGGCAATCTATCTATTTAAGAGACAGATAAAAGCTAGTTTTCTGAAGGTATATGGAAAAGTAAAATGTATTATGTAATCTATATGAATTGTTGTTTAAGTTAATGTTTTTATTTTTATTTAGTATTGTTTTGTAAATTATGTTTTGTTTGAATATATTCTGGGGTTAAAAGGGGCCGACATGATAAGATTTATTCTTCTGCTACATTTCATTTTGCTTTGATTTGTGTACTTTCTTTCTTTTCTATTGTATGT